GTGATAAACAAACTTGTTGGTGCACCAGCTTTCCCCATCGGCAGTGGTACAGAAATCTGAAGTTTAAGTGTAAACAAGGATCAAACTCCTACAGGAAAATGGGCCTGGCCTTTGATTCCCAAGCTGTACTGGCCCTCAAGTACTTGAACCAACATGAATCTTAGGGTAGAGCAACTGCTTCTTCACCAGCCTCACCTATGAATGTGCAAGTTTTCCTCCCTCTCAAGGCGATGTTTGTCAGGAGTCATGAAAGGTACAGGACTGCTGATGGCAAACAGGAAGCAGAAAAGCTCAAGCAGTCACAGGGTCTCCCACAGCCACATCTGTGAGCGCAGTTATGGGATTTTACCCATTGCCTGGAAGGGACATAGAGAGACACACCCATGTCACAATATTCTTCTTCTTTATACAGCCTTCTCTATATGGGCAGCAAGCTCACAGCTGAACAAGTCCTGGGCTATATATTTTCAAATCTTAATAACAGAACAAAAGACAAAATTTGCTGATCATGCTCCCGGTGTGGCTTTCAAATATACCATCAAATCCAGTATACCATCAAATCAAGAGCTGAACATGCTGGCTGGCTACTCCCACCTACTGTGGAAGCCAAGGCAATTATTAAAAGGTAGAAGAGTAGTGTGACTCCTTCCCACCACAGATACTGAAGACTTCCCCATCTTGGTGATCAAGAAGAGAGAGCAGTTTTTTTACCAGCATTATTACAAAAACCAGTCCTTTTTCCAGAAGAAATCAAGGCTTAGACAAGGACACTTTAGTTAATAAAAGGGTTAAGCTTCCCAAACCAGGCAAATAATATGGAAATAGTTACACAACCTTCATAGGCTCCTCTAATTCCTTTTTGGGACTAAACAGACATGTATTTGTAATACACTCTAATTTAAAAAAAGAAAAACAACAAGGCCACAAAGAAAAGCCCCAGCCCCCACCCCTCCAAACCTACGAATAAGAAACACATTTTCTGAAGCAAATCCCATCCTATTTTATCTCCTTGTACAAAAGTATGCCAGCCTCAATTTTTTTAGTCCTGCCCCCAATTGCCTTCCCCTCACCCACGCCTTCTTTTCAACCCAAATGAACCTGTCCCTGTGTCTATCCCCTGGAACAGGATTAAAGTTCCACACTGAGCCTGTTGCCAGGTTCACAGTAGCAGATGATCTGTTTGAAAGCTGTTCATTCAGCTCTGGGCAAGGCAAATTTGCCATGGAGTTTTCTTCAACCCACCATCTCCTTCAGCTTACAGGAGCTGCAGGAAACCTTTCCTCAGCTCTCAGTACAGCTCCCAGCAACTAACTTTTCTACAATACTTAATAAAGCATCCTTCTTAAAGCATGTGCTATGTTGACATCACATTTCTTGAATTTTTTAGATCTTCTTATTATATATATATATATACACTCATCCACCAACTCAGACACAGGTGTTACAAAGAGTAATGCTAAATCACAATTCTATCCCCTATGGAATATTTTAACCAGTCCAGAGCTTCTTTTAAAAATAACTTTAAAGGTTTCCCTATTGCTTTTTGCTAAGATCACTTGCTCTGCAGATTTTCAGCTTCTATTGAAAGACTGGCATAGATTCTCTGCCAGCACAACACAGCAATAAGCAACAAAAGATTCACTTCAGTGTTAAGTATCAGGTTCATTTAATTAATTTAATAACGTTTTCTGCTGGAAGCTATGTTACAGCTGCCAGATCCAGAAGATTGTTTCAAAATAGAATCCCTGTGGCCTGCATTTTTGTAATCCACTCGTAGTCTATATCCAGCAGCTTTACTCTTCAAGTCTTCTTCTGATGGCACTTGGCTTTAAGCAGATGCTCTCCATGATGAAGCCACATGCATGAGTCATGTCACTGCAGTGGGTAACACAAGCCTTTTCCCCATTACTTTGTAAGGAAAGAAAAAAGACACTTGGAAAATAGGTGTAAGCAAGGTAGGATCAAAAAGGTATGACTTGATTCAGGACCATCTCTGTCAGTGATTTGATCAAAACCAGTAGATGTGAAAAGGGCACGATGGGACAGCCTCCAGCACCTGCTGCCTTTTAGAAAGACCAGCACACCCCATTTTTTCTCTCTAGTCACATGTGTTGACAACCCAAGAAGAGTAAATTCCTTAAATGCTGGATACTGATAAATGTAGAGCTCAGCTGAGCTACAGACACACTGCTTTGCATTCAGGCATTAATTGGTGTCATTGCTTCTTTGCAACATAAAGGAGCTCCTACTTCCTCAGAGATGTGTGTTTGGCACTTTGTATTTTTGACTGACTCAAAAAAGGTCAATTAGATAGAAATGGTCCAACCTTGCATATTCCTGCTTCAAATTACTTAACATAACTGTTCACAAGTCTTGCAAGAGCCATTTTAAGCTTGAACTTCTGAGGTCTTCTGCTTTGAAGATCACTTTAACTGCCCTGAAGTGTGTTCTTTATTATGCAGCATCCCTCCTGTGGCAGAGCTGAATGAAAGACCAGGGCACTGCTTTCTCAGGAAATCACCAGGTGGGCTCTACCCCATCCCCTCAAGTCCCCAACCTCTGCAAGCAGCCAGTAGCACCTGCCCTGCCCACATTTCTCCTCTGCTGCCATCACCTGCTCAGCCAGGGCTGTGAGGACCAGGGAGCCCAAACAGCTCTGTGTCTCTGCTCCCTTGGGTGCCACTGCTGGGAACACACACCTTCCCAAGGGTAGTGTTGGAGAGCCAGGGTCTTCTTGGTGCCCTCCTAGAGCTGACCTTTAGGTTTGTATGACCTGCTCTGCACTGGCAGCTGAGATGCCCTCTCAGGGCTTTGCAACTGCTGCAGATCAGCAGCTCCTGGCTGGCATCCCCAGCCCAGCACACGTGTTGAGAAAGGCACCACTTGTTCCAACAGCCAGAAGTCCCCCAAGGGCTCTGTCCCCAACCACTGCTTGCCCCACCACAGGCTGACCCTTTGACTGCTCAGTGTGAGCAGCAGTGAGCCAGCCCTTTCCCAGAGGCAGATGCCACACTGGAACCTGGCCCTGCTGCCCCCTCTGCCACAGCCTGAGCAAGAAGGATGCCAAGCCATGCCTTCAACACCTTCAACAACTCCAAATATGAAGGCCACTGAGCTCTATTTCCACCCTAATCTGAGTTTTCAGCAAGACTGATGAGCATCATGCTGCTCTGCAGGGTTCAGAGGGTACTGAACCAGCCGTGTTTGACAGAGGAGCCCAGTTCCACTGCTACCTGTGGTTCTTTGATTTGCTTACGTAGCAATCAGTTTAAACCTTTTTACTTACCTCAAGCAGAGTCTCAGAAATGCAAGCACTAAGGCACAAAAAATGCAAGCAGAAGGTAAACAGTTCAGTGTTGTTTAACATGGGTGAGTTAAATAAAAAGGCAGTTGCCTTACTGTGCAGGAGGATACTAATGCAGTATCTGCAGGCACTGAATTCCCCCAGATCCCACACAACAGAAATGCCTGTTGCAGCCAAACAATCTTCCTGCAGCCATGCCAAGATGTCCTCTGATCAAAGTGCTATTGCAACCCTGGCTGCTGGTTTGGCCTCTGCCTTTCCACTGAGACCCCCAGCAAGAAAGCAAATGGGTGTTCTGCACATTGCTATGAACAGCACAGACAAGATAGAGGAAGAAAAAAAAAATCAGACTGCAGCCTACCCTTGAAAGTTATGCAAGAAGAGAGGTACAAGATGAGCTTTTCCCACAGCAAGGGTTCCAGCTACGATTGCAAAACCTCGGCAATCACGCACGGAGTCTTCCATGAGGTCTCCTAGGGTCACTATTCACTTCAAAGTCAGCAGAAAGGTGGCACAGCAAGGATCCTACTGCATTGCCACAACTGGCTGGCAGAGAGAGTAGTCTGGGGAAAGCCAGAATGCTGCAGCCATCACTCCCAGCACCGTCTGAATTTACAGACTGGAATGCCATGAGGACCCATGGCTGGCTGTGTCATGGCTCACTGGGTGGATGGGCCCAACTTCCCATGTGGCTCATGCTGGTTTCTGGACTCGTGCTCAAGTTCAAGCATTTATTTTTCATGCTTGTGCCTCTCTTCCCCCTTTCTTCCCGAACCTGAGTTTTACCACCTGGCAAAAAAAATGGCTCATGCCAAAGTCAAGCCAGAGTGGGACCCAACATACACAGACAACATGCCCATATGAAGAGACCTTTTTGTGATAGACTGAGATAAGCTTAGGAATAATATTGACCAAGATACTTCTCTTATAAGCTTCTTTTGCAGCAATTTTTTTTTTTCTGAAAACCAACTAATCTCTATCTAAATTTCTACAGTCATAGAAACTGACTGCAAACACTTGTAAAATTTACCTTCTTTGTTAACCTATGGTGTTTTATTTGAAATCAAAATGTAGCCATATTTTCAAGCCCATCTTAGACTGAAGCCTCAAGTAACTGTAGCCTTGTAGAAACCATGTGTCTTGTCTAGACTGGTTACCCAGTTTCTATCTACAGAGATATATGCACTTCCTAACATAGCAATCTATTCAAGAAAGATCATCTCTGTGAGGGCAGCCCTCTTTCCATTGACTGTGAAGGAAACTTGGTCAACTTGGATTAAGGGACTACATTTTACATGTCTAACATCGAGTAAGACAAATCCCTTTCCTCACTGAAGATGTGTTATCAAGTTCCTTTTACCATGTAGACCTTTCCCACAATATAAACTCATCATTTAATTTTACTTTCACATAGACTGCAGGCTCTAATATATCAAGACTAACTTCTAACAGCCATTAAGCAACCAGAAGAGAAATTACTTTAAGAACTCTTGAGATTAATTTCCTTACACTCTTTATGACATTCATTCAAGGTTCATGTTCTGTGTTTCCTCTTGCAATAATTTAAGAGACAAACCACTGCTGGGAACAGTACGTGTCCCTACACCCCCTCCAGCTGACAAAAATTGGCAGAGTTCAAGAGAAATCTCAGTGAATGGGAGAGAAAAAAAATTACAAAGAGCAATCACTACAGACATTGAGATTTATTGCTGATTTTCCCTTTCTGAAAAGCTGTCAAACTGCCACAGTTCCAGAAGGGGATTATCTCCACAAGCCCTTTGGCCTCAGTCCCTGTGCCAGTTCAGACAACATGACTAGAGACCTGTGTGTGGCAGCTTGCTGCTTACAGAACAGTTCGAGGCAAAATCAATCCTTCCAGATCCTGAATTTATACGTTGTTTGGTATGACCTGCTGTCTGCTTCAAACAAAAAAAAAAAAACCAACAAAACCAAACAAACAAAATAAACCAAAAAAAAAACCACCCGGGGCATACAGTGGGGAATGCTGCTTTTCCTGAGTTTAGTTCCCTGTGCCCCTGTGCAAGAAGCTGCTAGTGAGTGGTGCTCACACAGAGCCATCAGCATGATACAGTGCAGTTTTTTCTTTACCACATCAATCTGATATAGTTGGTCTTGTGCTTTGAGGCAAAGGCTCCTTACCATCTCTGCCAGCTATGCTGCTCCCTTACTAGCACTATTAATAGCATAGGTTCTTTTTTTAATAAAAAAAAAAAAAAATAGGTCCCTTTCCTCATGTTTGGTTGCACTTCTTCATTCCTGCTGCCACTTTTTTTCTTGATAGTGTCTCTAGGCTGCAAGTCAGCTTTGTTCCAGCTGGTGAGATCTGGTTCCTCTTTATGTGCCTGTCCTTTCAGTGTAAACAAGCAACGCTTCTCCAACTCCACCGATCACAAGGCTGTAAACAAAGTATATCACAAACTTAGCATCATGCAAGTCCTTCTACTTGATACAAAAAAGTATTGTTTTATCTAAACACTTTCCAACCTAGAAACAGTAACCCAGGTGATTTTTTCATTTATCTTGCTAAGAAAATGCTGAAACCCAAAATATCTCATTTAAATGATCTCATCAGAAACTACCTTTCTTGTATTTTAGGGCTGGTGATATTCAATAAAAATGCACAGACAGGAATCTAAATGGAGAAGGTTGCCCCTAGTTACAAGAATAGCTGCACACCCCTACACTAGCAAGAATAGGAAAGGAAGGCAAGAGAGTTTGAACCTTATTAGCCTATTGATTCCCTCTTGCAATTTCTGTTTGTGTTCTGTCCTGAAAACTTGCCACTTGACAACACCAGGAGGAGATGTAAAGCTTAGGTTTTGTGGACAAGGTGAAATCTGGGAAAACCTTTTTTGTGCTGGGGTGACCCCATTGGCATAGTGAGGCCAGTAAAAATTCCTGTGTTTGCCTCTCTTGGTGAGGTGAAAGGAGCTGCCCCAGCCAAAAAGACACATGTGCCCAAGCACTTCTTTCCTGTGCTGCTCACAGCACAGCCGTGGCACTAAGGCTGCTCCCCAAGAGTCAGCCTAGGAGCAGGGCTCCAAGTCAGGATGAATGGTTTTACAAAAACCTTCACTTAAATATGCTATCAACCCACTCAATGCATGCAATAGTTAATAATCCCCAAGTCTCCTCTGTTATCTCTCACAGCTGACAGGAATATGGTAAGATGCCGATTCTTCTCCCCTTTTAGAATAGTCCAAAGCTAAGTGTACTGACCTTTCATCTTAGCCCTACGGCTAATTAGCTTATGAAACAGAAAAGCTCCTTACTGAACTTTATAAACAAAACAAACTTCTGTTAAGTTCATTTCTAAGGGTACTCTTTTTTTTTCCCTTGGAAAAAAAAAAAAAGCATGTAAAGCTGAAGGCTCTTTGGTCTAATAGCATTATATTCACTTAAATCTTAGCTTTGGTGAGCTGTTTTAAAAACCACATAATTGCCCTTGTTCCCGAGAGGAAAAAAATATTGTATAACACAGCATAACATCCTACAATTACACAGTAAACAGCCCTGGAAAGTAGGTGCTACAGGCACTCTGTGACAGTCCACTGGGAAGACAGAATAGCTTTGGTGTGGAATTACTAACGAGGAGCAAAAGGCTGCAAGGGCTGCAAGCTTTTCAAAAAGGGTCTAAACCACTGAGTCTGGCCACCTGCAGTTGGTAACAACTTCTGAGTGCTTTTTTTCTGGAGAGGGTTAACTCCCATGTCTTATTTCAGCTTCAGTACAAATACATCCTATGCATTAACTCCTTTGGAATCTATGGTTGGATAATATACCCTTTATCCTAAAGGAAAAAAAAAATCCAAAACACTACACACAGAAGACCTTAGAAATTCTTTTCCTGTTTCTATAGTTGTGTTGTGCTCTAAATTTTTAACACAGATTAAAAAATAAATCTGTTTCTGGCATACCATTTCAAAAATGAGACTGGAAATTATATACAAAAGATAATAAACTGCCCAGCCTTGTTCTGTAAAAAGATGCCTGTACCAGAGTTGTTCTTTAACATCATATGTCTTACATCAGAGAAGAAGAATGCCTTTGTGAAGGATTTGAAATCTTGGGATCCACATGCCCCTACAATCCAAATTACTAGGCAAATGGAAACCATTGTTATTATCTTCAAGATGAAGAAGAGCAAAAACCATAGCTAAATGCCAGCCCTTGATTTTACCTTCATTTCCCATGTGGAAAACTCTTTAGCTTCTGTTTATAGTGGGATGGCAGCTAACTGCACTTGCCCATAGTTCAAAAATTAACATATGATATTGTCCATGACCACACTAGAGCAGCACTAAAATCCTCAGTGATTAATGTTCTCATGAGTACTTTGCAGCTGCTATCATCCAACAAACTATTTCCAGAGCTTTGCTGCTAAGTCAAGGCACTGCCAATGCACAAGCACTAACAGAATTAAAATTTCAAAAATAAATAAATAAAATAAATTGTTTTATTTTTTTTAATTATGACAATCAAAGTGTAACAGTAGCCCAAGGGCTAAAGCAAATTTTCTTTTAAGCATACAGATGTGTTCATCATTTATAGAAGTTTCAGTCCATATAGGGCAGGTGACATGTGTGCAACTCTATGGGTCTATGTGCTCACATTAACAAAGATACACATTAATAAAGGTACACATTCATTTTTAGTGCACATGTCAGTGAATACAGATGTATAATCAAAGCCTGCCTCTAGCACACGCGTGACAGACCTGTACAAACACATGCAAAACATGGTGAAGAGCAGCAAGTTAATGGCCTAGACTAGGAGTGTTTTGTAGGTGCTTTGACATTGGTTAAGTCTCTGACATGCACAAGCAGCATGTATTTCCTAAATGCACAACTTACTTTAGCATTTGAGACTACATGTGCCTAAAATACAGATAGGAATCCATATTAACACATAAGTAAATGGGGCCAGTCTGAACTGGAGATTCTCCTTTCTATAAGTCTCTTATCACACCTGAAGAAAGGATATGCAAATTCCATTCAGTGCAGAGCTGAATCTTTAGGATGGCAATCAAACTGAATGAATCATGAATCAAGTAGAAAGAAAGAAGCTTAAAGCTTTTCAAAAGTAAATGGATTTTTATTTCTATTAACAAATCTGTTCTCAGAGACACATGCCTAACCCCATATTGAAAAGTTATTTGCATGGCAGAAGCATTTAGGAACATTAGCCATCCTCTGTGATTCCCTTTCATTGTGTGCTACAAAACATAGATCAAAAACACTGCCTTTGACTAAAGGAGTTTGCAACCCAAGCCTTTATATTACTACCTAAAAAATTCAGGTTAGGTAATTTGTACTGTGTGGCCACACATTATAAAATCCAGATACAGCTCTGGAAACAGTTTATTATCATTATTTTTCTACAGTTTAATTTTATGCATTCACAGTGCACAGTGTGTTAGGGAAACTTGAATGCATCCTCTTGGTTAAAAAGATACTGTCAGCAAACCTTGACTCCTGTGTTTTGCTTCCAGTTCCAGAACTAAATTGCAGCATGACTTTGAATGGGTCATTTATTTGCCTATAGGGTCCATTTGCCTCCCAGTAAAATGTGCTGAGTGAATTATGGTTAGGCTTAATGTCTAAAATGTCCATGTTCTCCCACAGAGGCAGAAGCAACACTTTTCTATTACTGTACTGCATCCATCATTGTACACCTGGTTCTCCTTACATGCAAAATAATACTGACAGCAATAGAACTTGACATTTAAAAATATTTCCACATGAAGCACTGTGTGAAAATTCATCTTTACTGCTAAACAAAAAGCTCATGTAGGCACTTACCAAGAAATTGTTAGTACATTGGCAGTCATGACAAAGAAGAACGGTGATAAGCTAGCAGTGATAACCTGTTAAATTGAAAAGAAGGAAAAAACACTTTGTGAACTTGTGATATCACAAATTAAAACTAAAATACTTTTACTGAAATTCAATTTCCGTGTGTGCAGTCATATCTTCTTCTTTTAGTTGAAGATAGTATGATAGTCACACATCACAATTCAATTTTGACTCCAGCAGAATCCAGGACAGAGCAGAGAACCAGAGCAGGGGATCCCTTGTCACATATCCCAGCTGGCCTGACCTAGGAGCCTGCTGGCTTTTACTTGTTGACAGCAGACTGGGGAGAGCAGTTGGATCCCAGGTTTGGAAAGCTTTGTATTTCTGAGGAGAACAAGAGCTTGAAATGTGTTTATAGGTGTATAAAAACAAAACAAAAATTAGGGGTACAGGGTTAGGAAAAAACACAACTTCCATAGGTTTATGTTACAAGGCTGTCATTACCCTCAGGCGTCCTGGGCAGAGAAACTAGAGACAAATGACTCTGCTTTCTGAGTACTGATCCCAGAAACAGCCCGATCCTGACCTGCAATGGTTTGTAACAGATCCCTGCCTCAGCAGCTACGGAACCACCACATCTGCAGCCTGCGTGCAGTTTTGGATGTTTTGCTGCCAGATGGATAATGTAAAATGGAAAGAGTTCAAAGAACAGTGACAGAGTCATTAGATGGGGGGATTGATTTTCAGTCAACAGTTAGGATAAGCAATGCCTGTGGGAAAGGAAGACTTGGTAGTGGTTTACAAAACTTGGGAAACACAAGCACTGAGGAATGAAAGGAACTATTTAGGTTAATACAAAATTGCCCAAGGAAAAAGATGAAATTAAGAAATAAAACATTTAAACAATTATCAGCTAAGATTTCCTAATCATTGTTTGCCTAGTTGACTCCCAGGGGAGACAGCAGAACCTTCATTCTGTAATCTATTACTTGTTAAAGCATTACTACGTGTGCAGCAGGGAAGGGAAGCAAATGCCATTTCAGAGTAGATTCTGTGCACCAGGGCTTGGACTAGCAGTCTGTTAGTCAACACCTGCTACAATTGTTATGGCCACATTTTAAAAGGCAGGCTCTGAATCTGCCTGGAGTGTAATCAGTGGAGGATCACATGCAGGAGTGGCAGGTGATGAAGGGAAGGTTGTGCATCTCTCTAGAGTCCCACTCTAGAGTTAGGTGGAGAGGGGACAACAATCTAAATGCAGCAGTGAGACCATGCAGTGGCACAGGAGCAAAGGTGTTCAGTGGGGACTACACAAGGTGTGCTTCCTCTGGACTCTCTGGGGATGTTTTCTGCTTTAGGGAGATTCAGGTGGGTGTGCAGGTGGCTTTTTTCTTCCTAGATATTACCATAACTCACACCCTGACTGTTCTCCATGTGCCTGTAGCCCAGGCCCCTGTCAGAGGAAATGAGGCAGGAGATAGACTTGATCCAGACAGGATAACACATGACTGCAGGCCCACTCCATCCCTGCTCAGCAAGCAAATTGCTGGTACCAATACAACCACAGATACACCTGATACAAACTTCATCTGACTTCAATGTTTTCACACTGCCAGCCACAGCAGTGTACAGCACAGGCACTGCTGTATAGCTCTAAGCCAACAGGAAAAGTGAGCTCCTACTGCTAGGGAAAAATCAAAGATATGTATCTACACCTATAGCCTTGTATCTATACATGTAAGCAAACATACAACTTAACATGTATACCCAAAAGAGACTGGCAGAGAACAAAGACAAGTCACAAACAGAGAGTTACGCTACAAAACTCAAAATCATATTCCAGCTGTGCATATTCAGTGGCCTGTCTCATAGCTATTTGCAGCCAGAGAGAGCTGACACCTACTCCAAACAGTAGAAGTTAACTATTCAGGAGCTGAATCTTTCATGCACTTTACCTAAAAGCCAGCTGTGAGGCTGAATATCCATTAGTTCTAAACCAGTGCTCTAAAATACGTTTGCATCTTGTCCTAGTGGGCTGGGTTCTCCCCTTACAAAGAGTGCAGCGGATGCACTGACCTATAGGGAACCATTTCTCATTTACTCTGGTGTGAATGCTTGTGGAATTAACTGTACTGAGCTTATTTTAAGTTAATGCTAACTTATTACATAAAAATATACAATACCAATTACTGACCATGTAAACAGCAACTAACAAAGGATGGCAGCTGTGGTACGCACAGAGCGTTCTTTTCCTTAAGCTCATCTCCTCAAAGAAACTGAAGTGCTGTGTTTGAGAAGTGGCACAAGTTAAAGTTGTGTCACCCACTCCCTTGTTGAGCCCTGTTTATTAGAAGCTTGAGAAGAGGCCAAGGGCAGAGAAACAGGCATTCAAGAAACCTCTGAAAACAGGCCCTATCAGAAACAATACACCATTCTACTGTGATCATCCCAAACCTCCGCAAAAATGCAGGCTGTAGCCTTTTGGACTACTACAGCTGAACACTGTTGTATTTTTGAGAAATTATGTAAGAGTCTCTCAGTGCCAAAGACAAACAAAATGTGGGTTGGAAGACCGCATGAAGTAAGTGTGTGTAAGGAAAGAAAAAACAAATCACAAACAAACCAAAAGGAAAAGACATTGCTAAAATGTCTACCTTTGATGAGTTATCTAAAAGAAAAATATGTTTAAAAATGGAAAACAAGTTTTCAGAGAAGCTAACAATGTAATTTGTTCCAAGGGAAGAATCTAAATCCTAGGGACACAGTAGAGAAGGTAATTTTCCTTTAAGTACATTTCAGTATTATCTGAAGTGTTTTAAGTGCACATTTAGTTTGAAAAAAATCCCACCTACACTGATGTTCTGAATGGCCTTAAAAAAAAGAAAAACCAACAAAATAAATTCACAACAAGCTAAGTGCAGTAATCTTTCTTTCTTCATTTTAAAGGTCACAGTTGTCCTCCTAGGCATTCAGATGCTTTAGTAAAAGGAATGAGCTTTCAAGACAAAAGAAAGCAAGTTAAAGGGCAAACTGAAGTTAATGATTTCCAAATATATTTTGATGCTGAATCTGTGAAACTAAGAGGTGGAAAGGAAAATTTTAATTAGCTATAATATGCCTATTTTGAACAAAGCTCCCCAAGATTTTGACATACAGTCACTAATTCTATCAAATTATACAGGCTGGGTGGTTGAATGCCAACTATTTTGGAAACAGGAATAGCTCCATGGACTCTGCCCACTTTTAAAGGAACTGTGACCAGTCAGTATTACAAAAGCTACTTTAAAAACATTCATACCCGGAAATTTTCTTACAAAATTCTGACACAGCTTTCGATGATTAGGAAAAAAATTCAAGCTTAACAAAACATTTCCATGCGAGCTGAAATTTTTCCTAAGAAATCATTTGAATCCCTTCCTTGCGTGAAAAATCAAAACAAAACAAAACAAAACAACCTCCCCTTAAGACTGTTACTTAAATCAGTCTAAGTTTATTCTGTCATTCCATTGTACTGTGAAAATAAGACCCATTTTAAAGGAACACTTTATTAACACCTGTTTGTCTTGATTCCAGCTATTTCTGTAGTTCCAATCACTGAGTTATTCACAAGTCATTTTAAAAATAACCAAAAATCTTGGCATTTCAAATTGTATTTTATGCCTCAACCAAAACCATTTCTAGTTCCTTCCAATGTATATTAGCATTGCAGGAAATAAGTGTATCCTTGTAATGGATATTTATCTGGGATTAGGTCTGAGGAGAGTGGGCTGATCCCCTCCACATAAGAGATTGAGCCTGGATAGTCAGGTAAAAAACTACATAAATACTCCAATATTCTTCCCATAAATACTCTAGTAAAAGGGCTGAACAGGGACCAGGAGAAAAAACAGAGAGCAACTCAGCCAGTTAGAGATTTCAAACTTATTGGTAACAGGAGATCCTCAAATTCAGGTCCCATATAAAAGGTAAAAACTTCAGGTGTCCCCATTATTCATGGAAACAGAGAAGGGCTCAGGTGCCATAAAACATTCCACACATTGCTTACATTTCCATTTACATTTAACAAGCTCCTATCAAGGGCAACACAGCACTCAACCTCAGGATCCAAAGAAATTAATTCAATTCCAGAGCTCTAGAGTTTGCCCCTTACCAGGCAATGAATAATGGCAACTAGAAAAACAATGGCATTGTTGAAATACTAGGTAACAGACTAAGATCCATGAAGCAGAAATATCCCAATGTGTGGAAGAACTTGTTGCACAAGTAGGGACAAATTCAGCACATAAAATCACCTTTGTACAAGCAAATAGTAGGCATAGGAAAAAATGTGCTCTGATGTGTCTGCTTTTTGTAAATCTGCTTTAGTGATTCCTGAGTGGAGGGAGGCACAATTGCCACTAGCTTTAAAGGGTTCCCAAGGAACTTTGACAGACAGATCACTGCACAACTCATGATGTGAAGAATTTCCTCCTTTCTTCCTATCACTATATGGTCAGATAAGAAAAAATTTCCAAAGAAATTTTTTGCTTTCCAAAGAAAGTAAAATTTGTCTCATAAGTGTTGTTTTTTAGAAAATAAGGGGGGAAATGGAATTTATTTTAGAATAAGAGATTAATTTAGTTTACAGATAACAAAAAATAAAGACTGGATAATTTCTTGCTGTACACCTTAAGAAAAGGTAAGATAATTATTGAGCCAGCTTCCCTCTTAGACGTTTTTCTTGAACATATAACATCAGAAAACTCTGATAAGTTCGACATGTTGCTTGATGACAGGAGATGGCATCCTAAGAGTTCCTGGTCCTTGGCAATGCACAAATTTGAATCCTGAGAGTAGAGGAATGTGGAACTCTGCATTCTTTGCTGCCTCGAGTTCTCCACTGACCAGCTGTGGTTATACCACAGACTCTGGAGTGTCCAGTTTTGATCAGTTCAAACCAGACATCATTGTCCAAATAAAAGTGTCATTCTTGACCAAGCTATCATGGGTCCCCTTCAGCCCTGATTTTACAATCACTTCAGAGAAAGATTTTCAGGCTGCCGAAGCTGGCTGTAGATTTTGAATATCTAGC